CTCCCACTATTGAGGTTTGAAGTGCACATTGGTTTCCCCAATCGCAACATTAGGATATCCTCCCGCTTTTGAACGCACAATATATTGATTAATCCGTTTATTACAATATCTACCAGAAATTAATTTGCATGCATCATAGAGTGCATATTAGAACCCCATCGGCTTAGAATGGTTACTTTTAGCGTCTATTGTTTAGTGAATGCACTAAAGTCGATAGCTTAGATAGGCTGAATAACGTAAGTCATTGCAAAAGCACTTTTAGTGGATATAAACTTTAAGAAACTAACAAGATTGTAATATGAATAAATCTATTTTAAAAAATTGTAAAATTGACGATTCACGTAATTGTGCCTACCTTATATCTAAACTTGGTTTAGCTTAATAACGACTCAAGACTTTGTGACTTTTTTGCTAATTCAATAGCCCCCTTCAAAAATTGTTGCACCGCGATCAAGTGAAAGTTAATCACTTTAAGTACAGTACCCTATTGATTTGGAAGGAGACTATTTTCTTAACCTTGATAACTTCTTTTTTCTATCCCTAAAGGAGGTCAGTGGAATGCCAACTCTTTGTAGACCCGTGGATGAGGGGGGTGCCGGTTTCGATTATCGTCTAGCTATGGCCATCCCTGATCTTTGGGTAGCGGTAAGCAACCCATTTTCTCTTTACTTAGCGTACCCCCCCCCCCTTATTTCATGCCAAATTTTTTGGACACATTATTTGTCATCTTTTAAGCCTATTTGGCTCTCGCCTGGCCACTCATTTCAATATTAATGTTGATATGGCACAACTTTGCGCTCTCATCCATCGTATACATAATTTGCGTAGAGTAAATAGTTTATGAAGACTATTATTATCACGCTTCCTATGCGTATCTATGATGAAGTATATTATGGTGGGTGTGGTTTTTTTACAATCTAAACAAAATCGACCCTAGACTACTTTCATGCACCCAGGCTCGTATGCATTTTCAAGTAAAGTTAACTTGGTAGAATTTAGGTGAACTTTAGGATTTTAGCAATATATATAAAGATGCTACCTTATCTAATCTACTTAAGCATATATTGTTGATTCTCTATCCTTCTCTTATAGTATTTGAAAAAGGTTCCAGATGAAGAATGGGAAATGGGCAAAATTGTCCATAGCTTGACTAACCGTCGCTGGGGTGAGGGAAACATTGCTTACGCTGAATGTCACGATCAAGCCCTTGTCGGTGACAAGACAATTTCCTTCTGGTTAATGGACAAGGAGATGTACACACACATGAGTATTCTCTCTCCCCCGAGTCTTATTATTGATCGAGGTCTCGCTCTGCACAAAATGATCCGTTTGATCACCCATGCATTGGGAGGAGAAGGCTATCTCAATTTTATGGGTAAGTAGGGTCGCTGAAATAATGCATACGTGGAATTAATTTGGTTGGCAGGACAGTAGTTCGTGTGCGTGATCAAAAGCATTAGCCATCACAGGAGGGCTTTATGATTGGTCAATCAGCCCCTTGCGCGACCTTGGCTTATGTGTATCCGTTTGTTCTTCGTTAGAAGAAGCATTAGTTCTCTATTCTAAACAATGCTTCTCTTCGTAGGAAGCAAACTCTTCGTGTTCGCATCTGTGGTGATTTATATTTTCTAATAGAACAGCCAATAAATGTACTTATCTACAATGACATCTTATTGCAGCGTCTATGCAAGCAATTTGATATGCTGGGCAAGAAACGTGGCTTTAAGATATGGTGCAGAACGTAACCTGTTCTAGCGTGATGTAAGCTTTTTTTCGATGTAGTCTTATTTTGGCCAACAGAGAAAATAAGTCTGCGCCCTTTGGCAAAGCTGTCGAATTAGCCAATAGATGTGGCATAAAAGCACCTTGCCTATGGGTCTTCCCCATTGGGGAGAAGAAGAGGTGACCTTATCGGGCCGGCCTAGTTCCTTGCTAATTGGAAGTTTTATAAGACCCATGCCATCCAGGTTCTAGTTCTTTTAGTTCAAGTGTAGAAATGTCTCTTAGTTTATTTATTAAATGATAATTAACTTGTTGTTTCTTTGATTGAGTAGCTTGAACTTTTCTACTTCAATGATCAACGTTCTAATATTTCCACTACCTTGAGAGGATAGGGAGAGTGTGGTCATTTTCCCATGATTTAGTAAGTTTGAGCGAAGATGTTTCTAATAGAAATGATTGGTGTTCCTCTTCTTATCCATGATGTCATTTCATGCTCTGAGACAATGTTAAACTCGTTTACCCCTTAATTTGAGTAAACAAATAATTTTAAGGCTTATATTGTAGACAAGAATCGAATAACGAGTCGCATTATTTTCATAGTTAATTTTTTCTTGCGGTAAAGCTTCTTGAATTTTGACTTTGTTCTAAAGACCTTAAATACGTGATTGTTCTTCTATTTTCCTATGATTGAGATAAGTAAGAATGCGTTTCGTTGACATACTGTGGAAGCTGTTATGGCTACCCAAACCCCCAGCCTTGTACGTGCTCTCGTAAGACGACTGATTTGGTGGTAGTTGAAGTCACGAAGCTGAAACCATTGCATACTACAAAGCAGAACATAAAAATCGCCCAATAATCGATTTCCCCTCTCTGAGGTGGCGCATTTCCCCTTTAAGGGAATTTAAGCGCCAACGAAGAAATGTGTCTAGCTTCTAAGTGTGGGCGAATTTTCGCAGGCAAGATGGTCGTTGCTTGGCGCTTTTAGTGTTATCATAATTTTTCTGGTGTAATGCCTTTCAAAAAGAAACTTTCGGTTGTCCATTTGCGGTTGGTTTAAATAGCGTAGAGGAAGTGGGTGGTTGAAACGTCACTTATCAAAATGATTTCCCCAAAGCTAATGAATCTTTTGAGAAATCGATAGCATGGCTATAGATCTTATTCTTCTGAACGGAATAATGACAATCACATAACATGGACCAAGTCTCTCCTCCCTTCTACCAAACTAAGAATGCACACATCCACTTGTTCAAATAGCACAAGGCTTACTACTCTTCGAGGCATCAGTATCTAGGAGATAAGTTGACATAAATGGTCTCTTCATAGCTTTAATATTGACTGTGGCAATTTTAATATATGGTCTCCAACACATCAGTTGTATACCTTGGTGTAATATGGACTATTTGTTCTTTCTTCAGCTAAGTACATCATAGTTGTGGTAGCTGTTTCATTTCATATGCCAATATGCAAGCTATTTTTGCTACACAAAAAAGGCATTTGAAGCTCAGATCACACTGGTTAGATCTTTTCAAAATCACAAAGCATTTTGCTTATCTTTCTCAATTCTCTTCATAGGGAATGAATTCGGTCATCCGGAGTGGTTGGATTTCCCCCGAGAAGGAAATAACAATAGCTACCACTATGCTCGTCGACAGTGGAACCTGGTGGATGACCCCCTACTCAAGTACCAATTCCTTAACAATTGGGATCGAGATATGCAACACATGGAAGAAAAGTACCATTGGCTTTGTGCCAATCAGGTTAGTTGAAATTTTGCAATATCTTTTCCTTTCATTGTTAATCTGTCCACCGACCATTCATCTGCTAATCAGAGATCTTATTAACTTCCACGTAAAGGCATAACATAACATGCCATTTGAATTCACACAAAAAGGGACTTATTTTGTACTTATTCATTCCTATTCATCTCCTTATCTTATAAACACTCGTTTATTTTTGTTCTAATCTCCGTTAGACAAAGGAATTTGGCATCAGTACAGTTAATTCATTTGCCTTCCCAACTTTATTTAAATGGTCAACTACTGTTTAACTGTTTAGTTAAAGGCAGAAAATGTTTTGATTATCAAGTTTTATAGAATTAAAAAAAAAGAATTCTGCTTTACTATGAACATGTAGTGATGCAACGCTTAAGAGCCAATACATATTGAAATAATTATTGACTTAAAATTAGTCTTTTTATTAACCGTTGTTCACTACTTCGCCAGCCACTTTATTTCTTAAGAATTATCCGAGGGATCGATTTGGCGTTCCTTTATTATCATTTATCTTTGTTAATTGAATTTATCTGATTGGAATTTTCAGATCAGTGTAAGGTTTATTTCTGAGATCTTCTTATCGCGACGAACATTTTCTATTAATTTTCTATAATTAATTTAATCTTAATGGTTCAATGGTTATAAAAATGGTTTTCAAAATTGATTAATCCATTCGACACTAATCATTGGTAAAGTTAACGATTTCAATTTTGAAATCAACGTTTATTTTAACGATGGGTTACAAACCCATTCGTACTGAGAAGGAAAGGTGGCGGGGACATAGGTTTTGTTAACTATTCCCATAGTTTTATATACATATGTCCAATCGAAGCAACTTTAAACTTTTTCTTAACAGTTTCGTCGTCAAGTGGTAAGCAACTAAATGTTCTCAAGGTTAAGTTGGTTTATCTATTGCCTAATTTGCGCTGTGAACAATTGGAATTCTTTATTTTAGGCTTACGTGAGTCGAAAACACGAAGGAGACAAAATAGTTGTTTTTGAAAGAGCTGGTGTGCTGTTTATTTTTAATTTTCACCCTAACAAGAGCTATACAGGATACCGAATTGGTGTTGATACCGCCGGAACGTAAGTTACATCCCACCGTTAACTACTGAAGTCCATTTAAGTAGTTTACTAAATTTGTTTCTATCACATACAGGTACAAGATCATTTTGAATTCTGATTCAAAGAAATATGGTGGTTTTGATCGTATAGATGAATCAGTTCCGATACCGACAACTTGTGAGCATTGGGACAACCGGTGCTGTAGTGCTTACGTCTACATTCCGTCCCGAGTATGTCTCGCCCTTGCTCTCCAATGAGCCAAGTACACGGAACTCAAGGTTATTGCATTGTCCCCTCCCCCCCCCCACCAGTCTTGATTTGGTTACACCATTACTCACACCTTACACTTAATCCTTGTTGTTGTTTGCCTTTATTTATTTCTTGCCCATTACGCCATCTCAGTATGACATCTTACTCTATTTTTCTCTTTACTCTCTTCTTTTGTAGTTTTCCATTAAATGCTCTCCCACTGTTCTTTTTTATTTAATTAAAATTAATTAAATAATGAGTTAAGTTGTCACGGCATTTAGAAAAAAATGCCTCGAAATTGACGTATAATTTTTGATTAATTACCTTTTTAAGATGAAGGAAATAAGTGGTTGAATTCTGCGTTTTAACTTGGAAAGAGATGAAGTTTCGCACTTACTGAATAGTAGTGTACGTGTGTCACCTCTAGATAGAAATTGATTGATCAATTGCAGGTCGTAGTGGATACTTACTAGGGGTTTCGTTGTTCCTCGCAAGATTGAGAAGTTAGGCTCCACTTTATGAATTTAGTCCGTTCCATACGAGGTCTTTGTTCTATTAGTAAATAAAGTAGAGTTGAAATTTGTAATATGAAACTAAACAGGGGTGCATTTGGTTCAGAAATGACATCAACGTCAAAGTTAAGCTAACCCAACCGAACGGTCTATAAATACTGCCGGATAAAACTTCTGGCACCAAGACGTGCATAACCATGCCGCATTCTTCACATATAATGTACAGGAATGTGCAGTCGTGTGTGATGGAACTCCTCAGTCAATCCGCGATCATGTTTTCTGCAACAAAGAATGACGTTGATGGTATTTAATATCTCCTCATGTAGGTGCTATGACAATACATCCAATAAATGCATTTCAAGGCATTTAACCTATTCCTGCCATCTAATTACGGGAACAATCTTATACTAGGGAGTCTTGTCAGAAACGACTGCTAAGATTTAGAGAAGACCTACTCGTGTAGCATCCACTAGAGTACAAAGTGGGTGGAGGAAGATGGGACGTTTTTGGGGCTCGAGGGGGGGGGGGGAGATCGTTTATATCCTTAATTCGGAGCTTTAGAAAAGGGTAGAAATTACCTCCAAAATATTTCAACATGGGGTGTGCGACAGACTTACCTCCACGTGGTGCACCCTGGGCAACGTATACTCATGCAGCAAAGTCTATAAACCGGCAGTTGACTTCTGAGTGTAAGCTATTATGACCCCACTGTATGTCACATTTGATCACTTTCACAGTGCTCACCTCACCTTTCATCTACCTTTGTGTCTGTCTCTTTTACATCTTCAAACACTCTTCTGTTCCCCCCCCCCTCTCGACTTTTTTCGATTTGATGTTCCTCTGCCACTGTGAAGCCTGAAGTCAACTAAAGGGCTAATGCCAAATATCATAAAGCCTGCCATTTGATATAAATATTTCGACATGCAGTCCGTGCCCATTTGCCAATTTATTCAGTTAAACTGGAAAAATTAACTAATGTGCTGGCATTTACAGGACGGAGAGATTTGCGTCGTGGCGTATAAAGCAAAGATTGGAATTATTTGGCGTTTTGCCATAACTTCATTAACCTCCCAAATACCCACAATCCCTGTACTCAATAATAACACTTAATTGCCTATGTGGTTGAATTTACCCCAAAACTGCCGCGATTAAAATTCAAAAAAATTGAATGGTGATTAATTGTTCAAACAATTTAGTTTTTCGTCTAATTGTTCATTTTTTCCAGCACTATCATTCAATGCCAAAGCCTGAGTTCAGCCTATGATCAGAGTGAAATATCTCATCTTTTATTGATATCACACTCGCTTAATCAAGAACCCTAATCTCACGTTTTGACGAATTCAAATTTAGTCACGATTTTTAAATAACTTAAAGTCGATCATTCGTTGATTGATTTGAAATGCCTACCAAATATTTTGTTAATAAATTGACTTAAGGCATCTGACTTGTATTGTAGTAAGTGTGGAAGTTAATAGCTAAGATGCATTAAGTTATTATTATTGGTTAATGAATCTCCGTTTCTTGCAGTATTCCGGTCTCTCAAACTAGGCTCTTTGAAATGCGCATTCTACTTAACGTAAATCAACATAGTTACCCCCAGAGACCCTAGTTGCCCTTAATTCTACCCCCCCCCCTCAAAAAGGTCAAACAAAAAGGGGAAGAATTCACACCACTTGACATCTCCTTTCTCTACCAAAAGTAGTCACCACTGTTATGTACACTAATGAGCTCTGACCTCTTGACCCATGACGTTGTGGACGTGCACGATGGCAAATCTCTACAATCATTTCGAAGCCGAAGTAAACTTTATTAAGCTCCCCTGGCCGCCTTTAAGCCACGTAGCAAATCTTGTTATCAGTGACTAAACATAAAGCCTTACTGGCGTGTCCTGAACCCGTGGATCCTTACCTGAGATACCCTGCAGTGACCTTGATTTTCTGCCTCGCTCTAGAATTGAATGTAGATACGCTACGGCATTCAGAAGACAATGCAGACTGCTTGTTTTATGGGCAAGCTGCAAATAAGTCAAAACTTGTTTTAAATGAAGGCAGTTGGCATATTCAATCCATTCAAGTTGGCGGGTGCAGGCGAACTTTAGTTGGTAGATGACTGCCTACTTGAACTATAGGTATAGCATTTTGGCCCATCTTAAGAGAAAGGTAATTATTTTTTTATCTAGTATGCCTAATTTATCCAGGTACACACCTGGTTTGCCAGTGATTAACGGATTCGTTCCCATTCGGGGAGCATTCACTGAGTGGAATGACCGACTAAATGAGACTAATTTAGAGGATTACGAAATTCGTATACCACCCAAAGTGAGGCTTTTTAATGTCACCCTCTTCAACAGATAAGCATTGGTGCACTTTTTTAAATGGGATTAGGAGATAACATCTAAGTAAAAGAGGAGAATCATATTATCTCTACAACGTCCAATCAGTATAGGAGTAAGCTGAAACTTTCAGTATATGGGGTCAATGCTTCATTAGTGAAACAGTCAATAGGACAGTAGGGAGCACTAAAATTCAGTAGTGAAAAATTTTTGATAGATCAAGGCGGATTCAGTTCTATGCTATCCTCTTCAGATCAGTCCTAAATGCTAACCTTTCTTGTGCCATTCATTTTAATTAGGAGTAGCCAGTATCAATCTGTTTGGCAATAGTTATGTTTAAGCAATCTTTTTTCAATGACAGTTGAGTTTGGTGGAAAATTTCCTTGCATTTTACAAAAGTCACGCTGATTGTCTAGTCTCACTCGTATGAACGTTTAGCGAGAAGTGGAAAACGGGAACAATTATCTTCTTCATATTAGTTAGACAGATGCTGATTGAAGGCTCACAATACTCATTAGGTGTTATTTCTAATGGATTGAATGTCCTCATTAGGGCCTTTGCAAAACCCCTCAACAAAGAAGGTAAGAAATCTGGTCATTAATTTGCTTACTTAGAAATGTTAGCCACGTGCATACAACTTTTCTCCCTCTAAGTCATCTCAACTCTCTTTTCTTTTTGCTTATTTATTCAAATTGGCTTCGAGCCAAGCTGTGAGAGTAGAACCTCTCCAATCGTTTGCCGCATGACAAATTTGTGTAGCGAGTTTGTTTACAGTGATAAATTAGGTTGTCCTTTCAATGACATAAACATCCGTCTTAGACGTAGAAATTTTTCTGGTACTTCAGACTACCATAGACACAAGCATCTGCTCTTAGACATTTCGGAATGGGTCCCTATTCCAACTCCAAAAGGACATTAAGGTCTTCAAAGCTTGGGATCTGTCAGTAGCGAAACCGATTTTTTCCTCAAGTACAGAATTTGTAACCGGAAATGAGGTTTTCTTCCAATTTTAAACACATATGCACTAAATTTTTATATAATAGTAAGTGATGACTAACCTAACTAGATATCGACGAGCACTTAGATTTTCGTGCTTAGATGTAGTAAATGAATGGTTAAAGGAATGTTGCAAGCAAAAAGCTTATATGACAGAGAATTTTTCATTCTCCAAATCCTTTTTGAATGGAAAGATTGCGATAAATACTGACCCCTTATCCGGCACATGCAGAAGTTATACCAACAGTAGTGAAAATGGGGTTTGTGATAGACTTACCTCCACATGGTAAGGCAAAAAAGTCTATTAAGTGGCAGGTGACTTCTAACTTCTAACTACCATGACCCCAATGTATGTCATATTCCACCATTTCAGCGGATCTCGCCTTATCTATTACTCAACATCCATTTCATATTCCACCATTTCAGCGGATCTCGCCTTATCTATTACTCAACATTTGTGTCTGTCTGTCTCTTTTACATCTGTGAATCATTATTCTGGCTCCCTCCAACTCTCGACTTTTTGTCACTTTGATGTTCCCCCTCCTCCTCTGTGAAGCCTGAAGTCAGCTAAAGGGCTAATAATAACTATCAAAATGCCTGTCATTTGAAATAAATAAAAAACAGTAGTGAACACACCTTAATTGATCTCTAACTTTACAAATGTGTGGCGTAATCTCTACCAGTATTGAATCGCTTAATGAGCTCCTTCACAAACAAGGTAATTCGAGAATGGCTGACCTTCCGCCCATCCTCAAATGTGTCTAGTTTGAAACGGAAGCAAGATTATGTCCAATCTCTTCCTATGGTCTTCTTGGGGTGAAGTTGAGGGGGGGGGGGATTGTAAATGACATCAATTACGTTTAAAATGTTGTAAATTAACGGTTCGATAACATTTGAGAGAAATTAAGTTCTGATATTCCAAAAATTCCCTGAAAACAGATTAATAGCCAATAATCTATTGGTTTTCTACTGACGTACTACAGTAATTACAAGTATTTAAAAATATAACTAGTTGGCCTCATAACTAAATTTATGGCA